AATTGGACAGTTAACGCCTATATGCAAATGGACTAAAACTTATAAAAGTGTGAGATCTCGTTACCAAGCCCTTGTTTGCTTCCACCTTGGAGCCATCTTGGCAGAGCCACGATTGGCTCTGGTTCTCCAGGGTGTGGGCTTTGAAGTCACTTCAACGAATATCCACTTTATTCCTCTTAACTCCATCTAGCCTCTGTTCCAGCTCCTTAAGACATCAAGATATATGAAATGTTCTGGTTCGCCACTGGTTGTCCATGTGTTAAATCAGCAGAATTAAGGAACCACCAAGGCTGCTAATTCAGAAATGTTCTTCCTTCAATCTTTCAACCAGGCTGCACAATATTAATACTATTTTTTATAAAAAGGGACTTGTTATAGAGGGACTGAGGACAAGCTGCTTCTCAAATATTGCAATGTGTTGGACTGTGTGGCAAAGAACATTTTTCTGTTCTCTTCTGTGCAGCCACAGGGGTAGGACAAGGTTATTTGTTTTCCTTCACACTACTTACAATTTAAAGACATGGCAGCCACACAAGACCTGCTTTATATCACTGGAGATTTGTGTTTGGTTAATTTGTGACCTGTTTGTGATTTGTGTGTGAACTTAATTTAGCGAACATAAAGGTCTTTCTTCATGAGAGCCTGTTTTCCATAAAATGGGATGAATGTGTTGTCTTTGTCACAACACTGTTGAGGGACAGTTTAAATTAAAAGGATTGTACTAGGAAGGAACACAGAAATTTTAAGTTCACTGCTACTAGAAGCTGTTCAATGTTAGGAACGGAATGAAAGCCTGAATTATGGGTCCAGTAAAATCTGGGATAACCAACTACTTGCTTTTTTTACCTAAAAGAAGCAAAAGAAATAGACCTGAAGATTTTTCAATCCCTCTATTTCTCTCAGTTTTCAATCTCCCTCAGTTAAGTGATTCAGTTAAGTGACATGAATTGTAAAGTAAGATCAGGAGCTACATAATAAACCAGTGACTATTGTATATGTATAAAACTACAAAGTATGCATGCCCTTTTACAGGCAAGAGTGAGAGGCTGTGTAGAGCATGTGGATGAAAGCTTATGGCACACTTCACTGAGCAAGTTGAAGCCAACTCTTTGACATATTCATACAGAGATGGATTATGTTTCTGAGATCACCTTTTAAAGAACTCTTCAGTATAAAAATTGCAGCAAAATTCTTGGAGAATTTTTCTAAGGAGATCCTTTAAGCTGGAGTGTCTGAAACACTGGGGACATTTACTGAGACACTTTTGGGGAAATAGTACAAAAGAGACATTCTCAAGAGGTGGTGTTTGATGACTGCAACAGGTGCCTCAAATGCATCATGTCTCAAATTGGAGTTCAGATGGGCAATCAAGTTATTGCTGCGGAAAACTTTTTCACACTTTAGTTGAGCCATAATGACTGTTTGTGGGCATGTCCTTAGTCATAGGAAATTACAATGCAAGGTTGAGCAACATCCTGTTCTATATGGTGGATGAAGAAAGTGTGTAGATGTTGAGTATAATGTTGTTTTGTGTCTGCGGGCAGGCAGACAACTGAAGGCTTCTGAAATCCATGCCTGACTTAACTCAGACCGTGTCTTTCTTTGCAGTTGATCTAGGCTGAAAGCAGGCATGAGGACAGCTGCCATCACTCAGTTAATGTGCCGTAACCTGTTCCTTCAAACAGACAGAGTGTGAATTTAGAGAACTGATCCTACCATCTAAACCCACGGCATACATCCTGTGTAGTCATTTCCTTTGCAAGTTAGAATTAGAAATAAAGAAATATATTTTTGAGTCCTCTGCTCCAAAGATGAAAACCCACATATATGAATTCAGAGGCTCCATTGTGGCAGCACCTGGACTCTGGTAGTGGGTATGACCTTTATGAATACCCCCCTTTATTGACAGCCTTAGGACATCTGTTCTGCAATCCTGCAGCAGGTTTTAGGAAATGACCTGGCAGAAGATTTACAGATAAATCTGAAGAACTCACTCAAGGTTAAGATCTAAATTTAAGTAATTTCCCTCTTTCCCTCTATGAATATTTTTCATACTAGTGGGCTCACAATTAAATTTTTCTGTTTAAATTACTTCAGGGCATTAGTTTTGCCCATTTAAATATTTTTCTGTTTCCTCTGCTGACCTTAATAGTGAAAGAAAATATTTTCTTAATCATTGTCTTAAATTCCTTTAGTTCTATATTTGGCAAGCATTGGAGATTTCAATTTAAGAAAGCCTTTTGGAGGATTTTTTAAAAATTTCAAGTCCAATGTTACTATTTGACACAAAATAGTAACATTTTTCTTACATATAAAGTTTTTCTTACTGTTGTCACACTTAACATGTTTAATTCTTAACCTTTCTTTTTTTTTCTCAAAAGATTTGTAACTGTCTCCATTCCAAAATTATGTGTTTGCTCTTAGTCAGCTTTCTTTCCTAAATAATTTATCTTTTATAAAAAAGAATAGCAACATCTGTTAGGACTTGCTATATAACAAGCTAATATATCTACTTTACTTTTCAAAAGACAGCGGGTAATTTCAGCTAAGAGGACACAGAATAGGTAGATGCAGACTGAATTCCCAAGTATTTCTACAGGGGTATATATTGAATAGTATTCTTACTGTCTTTCCCTTTACAGAACTATCAATAATTGGACTAGGAACTAAATCTTATAGGAATTGGTCAGTATATCTACATATATATATGTCAGTATGAAACAGTCTAAATTACAATATACATCAGAAACTACCATCTTCATAAGTACAAGACTGCTGACTGTTTCAGTAAAAGCTATAGAGGAAATATACATAATTCAATTTATAATTGCCTTTCTGAGGAAAACACCCATACCCTGAGATTTCTTTGAAGCAATCCTTTGCTGAGCAATCCTTTATCCTATCCATTGCATTCACTAATATTTTTGCATTTTAGTTTTGCATAATAGTTTTGCATTCACTAATCTCCCTAGGCTTTGCAAAAGGAAGTGTTATCACATCGCAGCAAACAGGAAAGCTAAGGTGAAGTAGCCTCTTCCAAAACTTGATAGAAATAGCAGGGGAGGAAAGGACAGGGATTTTACATAAGTGACATTCTTAGAGTAAGCTTTAAAGTCTACAGTACTGCCAACGTCTCAGCTAGAGGGTCCCAGCCTTTGGAAAGGTGTAAGGCATGAGGCTGACTGTCTCCACTGCCCTGGCATTGCACCAGGCTGCACCTGACTGAGAGGATGCACAGAAGTCCTCTTCCTTGGCCTTTCCTTGGTACCATCATGTTGGGATGAGGGGAATGCCACTCATGCCAGGATGCAATGCAGAGGACACCCCTCTCTACATGCAGTGAGTTGCATCTTCCCAGCACTCATGCACTTAGTGATGACATGCAGAGAAACTGGAGCTGATTCCCCACCCCGCCTTAGATGCATGTGTCAGACCTCTGAGTTGTCTTTGGAGCTGTGTCTGCAACACAGTGCACTTCAACTGATTCCATAACATGAATATTGGAGAGTGCTTTTGACTTGGAAGCAGCAGTGTGCAAATGTGGCTGTGCCAGTTCCAGACTTTCACTGCTAATGATTCTGCCTGTGCTGCTTGCTTTATAGAGCCTTTCCTGCTGAGGTCTTTGATGAAAAAAATTCTTCTACTTTTTGTGTTGTATAGTGTGGATGTATGCGAAGTATGTCAAATCCACAGGATGAAATGACAGCATTGAGCAATCAGAGTCTAATGTACTGTATGTTAACATCCCCACTTAGCTGTCTGTAATGGGGAGTCCGGTGCCTAGTGCAAAACCCACCATTCTTGTTAAACTCAGGTTACCCTTATTGATAAAATCACTTCAGCTGGTCAAGTATTAGCCATGGTGGGAGATTATATTTACAAGTATTTCTTAATTACAAAATTTCAACTCCCTACAAATTCAGAATGATAGCTTCTTACAGACATCCCTCATATCTGAAGAGGAGAACCTGTCTCTTTAAGAAAAAGGGATAATGTTATCTGCTCTCCACTGCATGTAATAAGATGAGGGAATTCAGGATTTAGTAGCTTCTTCTGCGAATAATGCTGTTCAGGATATAGAAATTCAGGTCTTGGGCTGGCTAATGGGACACAAACCTGAAAAAATTACAAGCAGGTTTCAGTTGATTTTGCAGTAAGCAGTACAAACTGGTTATTCCCATGCCCCATTACGCCAGACTTGCTGTTGATTCTGCTCACTAACTGACTTCTGCTGCTTCACTAAAAGATTTTTACTGTACACACATTATTAAATATTTTTTTTAAATGCAAGCAAATGAGCAACTAAAGTTCTTTCAGCTCAAAGCAGAATAAGAAAACCGGGAAGGAAGGGAGAGTATAATAAGCTAAACTGCTGACTGTTCCATTAATATTAGGAATGCATAGAAAGGTATAGACCTGACTTTTCAAATATTTCTTAATGTTGCTCTAGAAGAACTTAGGAGTTTAACATCACAATGGTGTTAAATGAAATGCCTTTATTTCATGAAAGGTGCAGCCTCAGGCTGAAAACCCAAACATTTCTTAAGGAAAAATCCTTCCATCAAAAAAATCTGTATTTGTAAATACAGCCCGCAGAGTATACACATGGAAGATAGAGACTTGGGACTGTGGGAAAGCATGTGTTAATAATGAAAAACTTCACCATTTTAGAATCTTATTGAATTTTGAAAATCAGCAGTTAAAAAAAGTAAAAAAAAAAAAAAAAGCACTCTACACTTTTACATATGTAAAATAATAAATGTAAATAAATTTAAATTAAATTTTATTTCCTTTCTAAAATCACCAAATATATTTTTCTTCTTTCTCCTCAAACATTCCTATGCTTAATTGATATTACAGTGTATGAGGAGTATAGGTCTAGGCACTATTTACAGAACATCACAATGCTGCTCTGAGCTTATTTTGTTAATCCAGACTGTTGGTTCTCTGTGGTTACTTGTAGGAACCATATAGACAGACAGGTCATGATTATTTCTTACCAGCTCATTGCTGCCATCCTCATCAAAATCCTCCTCTATCCCATCAGTCATATCTTCTGCATCCCCATCTGCATCTGGCCCTCCTTCAATTGGCTCTTCCGTAGAGTTATCTGCATTCTCTGATATGCATTCCTCTTGAATCAAATCAGCATTATCTTCCTTTTGTTTCTTTTCTGTAAGGAAAACATACTCTATGGAGATTCAGTAGCCTTTCCTATTGGTGGCAAAGTGCTCTGCAGAAGAAACCTGAGCTTCCATCTCGAGATGTGCTAGATTTGTAAAATTCTCTGTGATAATGTCTATCAGGAAAATATGATTGAGAACTTTTCTTTCAAAAATTGGTGCATAAATAAATCACAATATCAATATGCTCATCTACCCCGTCTATGCCATGCAGTGGATGAAGGCTTGATTTGCCAATGGATCCAGCTTTTTGATTTTCCGTACTTTGCCTTGGAATCCAATTGGCATAGTCACCAGATGTTTATTCATGTGCAGCCAATGAAAAGTACATAAATAACTATTATCTGATAAGGCTGTTAATTGCCAATATGTGAATAAGAATTTGTATGAATTTAATGTGAATATATCCTCACAGTAATACAGGTAATCAACAAATACTTTTAGACAGGTAAACATGTTTTTGAGAAGTATCTGTTACTCCTCATTGATACAATGTGAAGTAACTAGAGAATGTCCCCCTCCAATCAACCAAATATTGGCTTCCTATATTTTCTGCAAAGTGGTAAAAAGAAAGACCATTTCCATGCCTGAAGGCTGAAGAATCTGTTCTGGTTGACTTCATGAGGGTAGCTGCATTATTGTGACTAGGTATTGGGAAACTCCTGGATATGCTGAGGAACTTCATCCAAACAGCAGAAATCCAGAGGAAGATTGATGGAAGAATGACAAGAGACAGACTGGCTAGAAGAATGTTTGTAGGGATCAGAGTCTTATTTCTATGCATGTCAGGAACTTATATGAAACACTTTATGTACTCAGAGTGAATTAGGCCAGAGAACTGGTTGCATATAGCTAGAAAAATAATGTCTTTTCAGTCTGAGGGTAATCAATGACAGAATTTCTAGAATAAAATATTTCTTCCTTTGTAAGACTGACTGCTCTGTAACACTAGTAGTTCATTATCTATCTTGTTGGACAACAAATGAATTAAGTGTTGCCTTGAANTTTTTCTTTTCCATAGTCTTAAACTAAGATATTTGTTTTACCTTTTGACTTTGCACATTTATTTTGCCACTTACATTAATATCTTTAGTTTTCATTAGTCTTTAGTCCCTCATTTTCAACTTTGCTTACTGAAGGAACAGAAAAATTAAGCTTTCCTCCCTCAGTCACCTAATGTCTTCAGAAAGATTCTTAGATTTAAAGAGTACAAAGTCTTCTTAGACCGTAGCTCTGACAGTACTGTAGTCATATATATTAGCAGAAGATTCATCCCATGGAGCCTTATCTTCTGTTGTTAAGGTGCTCCATACAATGCCATGCTAGTTTTAAGTGATTGTGTTACTTGCCTTATATACAAGTTAAAATGGATTGAATCACCTATGCCTTCTATGTCTGACCCTACCACTTCCTTTCTTAAGCCACTTCTGAGATCACTCAGCTCTGTCAATGACAACTGAATCAATTTTGGTCAAGGCTTTTAAAAACAAGTTTTTTTAATTGATAGACAATACATTTAAATGGGAAACCTTCTAAGATACAGCTGCTAAAAAATTAGGTCACTTACTTAATTGCATTAACGAGAACATAGACCAGGTTCCTCAGAGAAGGCTAAAATACTATCTCAGTACCTATCTCTTTTGGGCTCTTCTGAGAAGCTAAACTCAAGTACCTAACTTTGAGCCTAATTAAAGCCAATCTCTAATATTACAGGAAGAATAGTCTCTACTTTTTTTTTTTTTTTTTTTTTTTTTTTTTTTTTTTTTTTTTTTTTTTTTTTTTTTTTTTTTTTTTTTTTTTATTTTTTTTTTTTTTTTTTTTATGTCAGAACAGCTTATTTCCAGCTTCCCGGTTCATATTTTTGCAAACAAAGGAGCTACTTCTACAGTTTTTCTATGTACAGGAAATCCTATCTTCTATATTCTTCCTATTATAAAGATTGGGGGTTGATAACAGTAAAAGTTAGAACATCAGCTTTTACTGCAAGGAGAGTCTTCTTGCAGATCTAGAGCAGTAACCAACATATGCACTGAGCATGTCTAGCCTGTCACATCACATTCCTCTAGAAGTAACAGCTTTTAGGATTAAAAATTAAATATTCTTCAGGAGAGCAAGTTGAACTTAGAAAACCAAAAGAGCAAGATGATGGCTTGATTTTTGCTTTATATAAATGAGACACAGATCCTCTCTCTGATCCCAGTCTTAGTGAGGCCACACCTTGTGGCAGAGGAAAATGAAAAATAACATTGCCAAACCATAGAGAAGGAACAAAATCATCTCATCATTTCCCATCTAACAATCTAAATGAAATAGTTCAGCTACTGATGCAGATTACACAAATCTTTTTGGATCTGCAGACTAATCACCCAGGCTGCATAACCCCCTTCATCAGCTCAGGAAACTTAAATGTGTTTCCAGGCTTACTGGTATCTTTGAGGTATTTTTCTCCTCACACCTTCCAATGAGAGGCAAAGAATATGAGAGATGGGTTCTGCACCTGATGTTTTAAAACATCAATATTTTGAAAACATTTTTTAATATCTGAGGATATTCATTGCATGTCTTCAGAAGCCATAAGACTATGACTCAATACGAATCAATATTTTCCTCTTTGACATGATTTCTTTTTAAATTACATCACTATGGTCCTTTAGCAAAAGTGAAAATTGGATATCAAAGGACAATGATCTGCATACTGTTTTGCATAGTAATGGATTTTTTATAAAAGTTCCCCAAGGTAGAGATGTATAGTCAGAGTGCTTCAGTGCACAAATTATTCAATGGAGTGCCTTGCAATTACATCTTCACCAATTATGCCAACTTTTATCCAAACTGCACAAAGGACAAAATAGAATCTAATGAATACATATTGTGTACAGATCTCCTGAAAGGGATAATCACACTCTCTACTAACGGTTTACCTCAGATTATAAAAAAGCCCCCAAATTTGTGAGATAAACTGTAACAGCTGGAGGACTGGTGACTGGTCCTTGTCTGTCAACTTAGAAAATGATTGTAAAGAAAAGATAGGTTATTTTTCAAACATTTTTTTTTTAAAGTTACTTGGGAACAGGTGACATCTGTATCTAAATTCCTATTTTGACTGTGCCAAGTTTGTAACTCTCAACTGCTAATTCCCAGTAATGTTTTAGACAGTCTTGATAGAATTCTCTTTATGTGTCCTGATGGGTTTTTGGCTTCATGTAACTGACTACTGTCCAGACACCCAGGCAGTTGTGGTTTCTGAGGCAGAATTTCTTTCACACATTTCACACAAAATTCAGAAAAAAATTTTATCCCAGGATGGACGGGGTGAAAAAAAAAAATTCAGTTTTTCATGAGATTAAGCACCCTGCTGACTTTTACAAAATCAACTCAAATATAAAGCTCCTGAAAAAAGATATATGTGATCTATAAGGAAACAGCAAAGAAAATGCCACAGACAGACATAAGAACTGATTTTTTTTTATATATGTACCATGGTGAGAATACAACTCTCAGGATGACTTTAAAGTGCTACCAGGTGAGGTCATTCATCTAACAAAATGAGCAATGCACTGACTTGATTAAATTATGAAGTAGTATTGGATTTTTCATTCCTAGGGTTTGATTATGCCAGAAAAAAAACCTAAATTGGAGCTGTAACTAGTTTTACAAAGAGGCCCAAACTTCACTTAATAACTGAAGTTGGAAAGTATCTCTGTCCAATCCTTCTTCAAATCAGGGACAAACTCAAATTGTAGCCCAGGTCCATGGGTCCTGAGCCCAGTGAGTTTTAAATGTTTCCAAGGATGGAGCCAGTGTGGTCTCTCTGGTCAACTCACCATACTGCTTCGTTGGATCTCTTTTCCTTATATCAAACAGAATTTTTTTCTTTGCTTCAGCTTGTAACTATTACCTAATGCTTATTACCCAGGCAATAATTCTTGATATACACCATCTATAAATACTTAATGTGTCTGGCACAAGCATCACCATAGTCAAAAACTTCTAGCTTAATTCTGTTCACTCTGTTTTTTAGTGATGTTTAGTGTTTACAGAACATCAAGAGATTATTTTTCCTACTACACCATAAAAATGATTCTTAAATGATGATGCATTTTCTGTGAAGAATATCAATCTATTCTCCTAGGAGTTTTACGTAAGAGTTGATTTGCCTTGCCTCAGGCCTCCATTAAGTACCAAAATTTTAGAAAGCTTCCATTCTCTTTGGTCTGTCTACTTGACTGGTAACAAGGTTCTAATTTAATTCATTTCACTAAAAATGGCTTTTACCCACCTGCTTCAGCTTTTTGCTGCTTTTCAATCTTTTCCAGTCTCCCTAGCAAGGAGTCAATTTTTGTTTTGATTTGAGTTAATTCTTTCTTGATTGTTTGCAACTCATCTGATTTCACTGTGGAAGAGAGCAAAATGCAAAATATGAAATAAACTATATTTGTGATAACATCCCCCCTCCCCAAGAAAAACATGCTCTTTTTTTTCTTTTCTGTCTAGTAGAAATTCTACTCTTTCATTTTTGTCAATATTTTCAGAGATTTAGCTTTTAAAATTAACATTGTTATTTAAAAATGCAGAATCCTAGAAAACCACAGGATTCTAAGGCTTAATGGCAACAGTCCGTGTAAGGTGTGTTGCTTAGTAATAGTCATTTCAGGAAAAACCTCTCAAAAACGTCTTCATAAATCCAAGTAACTTTTACTTAAAGACAGCCTATAGTGAAAGAATAATTCAAATATGATAGACATGTCACAGTATTGCAATGTTATTTTGCTGGACTCTTTTGTAATAATATTGACAATAATAAAAAGATCCCTTACAGTATGTATTTCTCAGCAAGACTGAATGGTAATATAAGTGCTAGGCAGCCAGGAATGCAAGGTTATGTTCCAATCAAAAACTCATTGCAAGAGGTGTCATGTTTTGTTGCTGCAAAAGATTTCAATTCAGTTTCAGTTGATAATTTCTTGTCCTTTTTCCAGCTATGGATAATATATGGAAATTTTATGATCACATCCAAGGACATGGAGGCATCACTTATAGCTATAACTATTAGCTGAAGTTTCCAAATCTTTATTGCAATGCTTTACTCTTAATTTTTGTTTATTAATGTGCTCTCATTGTCTAACCTAAGAAGGAGTAACAGCTCTGGAGATGTTTTGGCTTCAAAGGAAACAGTGTTGCAGCCCTCAGAAATTACCTTATTATTTTGGCATTATCAGAACATGTGTTTTATGCTCAGAAGGTGGCCCAAACAAATACACTTGCCCTGTTTGTGCTAGGATATCATGTGGAAAATGTCAAGAAGAGAAAATGGCAACTCTGTGCTAATATGGGAGACTAAAGCCATTTATAAAGGACCAGAGTAGGAAACAGAGCTGTCACTCTTATAACTCTTCTAGGAAGAAATGGACCATCCTCATGAGGGACTGATAGTGGAAGAGCACTGAGCTCTGTTACTCCTCCACCACTGCTGTAGGAGGATGTGCATTGACTTTGGCGTTGTGAGAGCACAACAGGAGGGTCCTTATTGAGCTAGGGAAAGGGATGCTGTGCTATGAAGAAGAACATGTTCCCTTTCTGTCAAAAGTGTCTTCTGGCTGCATCTTGCTGCATCAGTCCTGTTCTCCAGTCCTTGGCCATGTCTGTTATCTTGGTGTCTCAGGTAATTTGTATTGGACAGTCATTCTGATGATGAAGTGTGAAGACAAGCTATTGCCTGCTTCAGTGATAGTTGATGAATAGATGTTTGCCTCAAATTAGCATTATTCCAAACTTGTAGCATATTCACAGAGGTTGAAACCAAAGATTTTTATCTTAGAGTTTGGGGCATGTGCTTTATAGTATAACATCTCAGCTAAAAGCAGTAGGTTGCTATATGTGATTGTTTAATTGTGCTCATATTGAGAAATCTCACAGTATAGGCTGAAACCTCTAATCTCATATTGAATGAACACAATAACTTAAAGAAAAAAGCATATTTTTCTATAAAGCTAAAATTTTTCTATAAAACTTTGTGCGAGACTCTTATATGCTATACGATATTTGATGGAATAATTTTGTGTATTTAAAGAATGACGTTTTAAAATGTTCTTAGAGAAATAATGGGTCATTCCCCAATCCCACAGATCTGAAACAAAATGTTAAGATTCTGAAAACTATATATTTAGAAGACTAGTGATTTCCCAGGGGCAGTGGCTTGTCCATGTTGGAGTAGCAAGGTAGCTCAGAATCCAGAGTGAAAGGGTGTGAACTGCTCCAGTGGGGAATGCTAAGTGCTGGCAGCAGCCCACCATGAAGCCTGTTGGCAATACATTCCGTGCAGCCAAACTGTTGTGTCAGGGATGCTCCCTTGACTGGCAAACTGCAGGCTGGCCAGGCCCGAAAGGTCAGACCCAGAAGTGACACTGCAAGGATCCAATGGTATTTATCTCCAGTCTACTAAGCAAAGCAGAAAACATTTGAACTTCTCAGTTTGACAAGGAAACATGCTCATGCCTAGCGCTGTTGTTCAGCTCAGGTCTGCTGCTCAGGGGCTTCTATGTGGTGCCTTTGGAAAAGCTAGGCTGGGAAGAAGATGGCACCAGAGGGAATAAGACAACAACGAGGATTCAAGGAACAAACCCTAGTGGAATAGGACAAGGGGGTGCTGGGTAACAGATGACTGAAGATGAGCCAGTGTGTGCCCAGGTGGCCAAGGTGTCCAATAGTATCCAGGCCTGTATCAGCAACAGTGTGGCCAGCATGACCACTGTCATGGTCCCTCTGTACTCAGCACTGGTGAGACACCTTGAGTGCTGTGTCCAGGTCTAAGCACCTCATCTGAAGAAAGACTGAGGTGCTGAAAAGTCTCCAGAAAAGGGCAATGAAGGCAATGAGGCTGGTGAAAAGCCTAGGAGACTATGAGGATACTATAAGAAATGTTTGAGGGAGCTGGGGTTGTTTGGCCTGGAGAAAAGGAGGCTTGGGGAGACCTTATCACTCTCTACAACAAACTGAAAGGAGGCTGTAGATAGGTGGGGGGTGTCCACTTCTCCCAGATAACTGGTGATAGGGCAAGAGGACATAGCCTCAAGCTGCACCTGGGGAGAGGTTCAGGTTGGATGTTAGAAGTAATTTTTTTATGGAAATGGTTGTTAAACATTGGAAATGACTGCTTAGGGAGTCACCATCCCTGGAGGTGTTCAAGAAACCTCTATCTGACATTAAAGCTATGGTCTAGTTGACAATGTGGTGAGCAGTTAAAGCCTGAACTGGACAATCTGGAAGTCTTTTCCAATCTAAATTATTCTATGATTCTGTGATCATAGAGTCATTTATTTCAAGTTAACACTTAAAAGGTAATCTGTAATTTGAAAGGTAATTTGTAATTTGAAAGAAGAATGAAAAAAATCTCAACCAATCTGCACAAGTGCCAAACTTTCATTCTGTTTCCAACATTTTGATGGTGTAATTATTTGAATTGCTTATTGTTTTACCTTGCAGTGGGTTGTACAAGTCTTCAAAATTATTCACCTAGAGAAATTCCACTCTCAATTATACTATAGTAAGCAGCAACTACCAAAGACAAATTATGAAGGACCCTGATGAGAAATAAGTTGAGCATGAGCCAGATCTTTTCCTTGTCTCAGTTTAACCGTATCCAACAAGTGAGCACCACACAGTTGCTCACTTCCCTCCAACATCCAGAAGAATGGGAGGAAGAAAATAAGGAGGGTAAAAGTAAGAAAACAAACTGGTTGAGATAAGAACAGTTTATTAATGGAAATACATTATAATGATGATGATGATGATGATGATAGTAATAATAATAATAATCATAATATTATTATTAATAATAATAATAATCATAATCATCATAATCATCATAATCATCATAATCATCATAATGATAATCATAATCATAAAGGAAAACAACAGAGAAATAAATAAAGTCCAAGAAATAAAAGCAATGCAAATGAAAACACCCACTGACGGATGCCCTGAAGAAGCCCTGGCCAACCTTCCACTTATTGTTGAAGATGATACTATGGTCTGGAACATCCCTTTGGCCATGTAGGGTCACCTGTCCCAGGCGTGTCCCCTCCCTGTTTCTTGTGCATCCCCATCCTGCTCATTGGTGGGGTGGGGTGAAGCAGAGAAGAACTTGACTCTGTGTAAGCTCAGCAGTAACTGAAAATCCCTGTGTCATCAGCGCTGTTTCCAGCACAAATTCAAAACACTGCCCTATAGCAGCTACTGAAATAAAAATTGACTCAGCCCCAGCTAAACCCAGCAGACCACTCTACCCAGCACTTGTGAGGCCACATGTGGAGCACTGTGCCCACCTCTGGGCTCCCCAGTATGGCAGGGAATGAAGAAGACAAAGCCAGACTCTTCTCAGTAGAACCCACTGACACACCAAAGACCTTTGGCATAAATTAAAGCATGTGAAATTTCATCTAAGCACCAGAATTTTATTTTTTTCTTCCCATGGGTGTAGTCAGTCACAGTCCTGGGAAATTTGCTTTGCAGGGCATTTGCACCAGAGGAGCTCCAGAGGTCCCCTTCAGAGGTTCCTTCCAAACTCAACTATTCTGTGAATCTGTGATAGCACTTGGCAAGAACTTCAGACTTTTAAAGCAGTGTTACAGCAAAGATAAAGTGTGAAGATTATAAATTCTGTCCTCTAGGTGTCCTGCTTTGAGTATATAAATTCTCCTTTAAAACATAATGTATTTTTTTAATTGATCTCAGCAAGAAATAAAGCCATTGGTAAACATGACACCAGAACTGCATGTATCCAAAATATCTGTTCATCTGCTTTTGAGCAATAGAGTAGGAAAAGAAAGTAACTTACTCAGTGGGAATATTTTCCTAATTAACAGATAAAATAAAGGATGGCAGATAACAGAAATGCACATATTGAAAGGGAGAATAATTATTAATGAAACTAGTAATGGCTAAATATCTTCAACAACTCTGATGCAAAAATGTAAATAAACAGGTGAAATTTGATTATGACATGAAATTGAAAGAAATCGCTTATTCAGAGGAAACTGGAATGGAAGAAGAGGTCAGGTGATTTTAAGGAATGTTACGTTAGAAAAAAAGGTTGAGATTTCACTGAAAAAAACCCTACACTTAACAGCAGAAGTCCTGCTCTTATCTCCAAGGCTCATCAGCAGATGAAGACAGTGACAGAATTATCCTTGTGTTGATAACAGGCTATCACAATTTGCAACCATGAGAAGGAAAATGCAGTGCTAGGGTGTGTCATTTGAAGTATTGCTAAGGATGGAGAACTGTATTGTCTTTGTATGAGGACCTGGTGAGTACAGGTTGAACCACTGATTCTAGCAGGTGCATGTGGAGAACAGCTCTGAAGATGACCATAAAAATGGAAAGCCTTTAGTGTGACAGAAGTGTTTTACTTGTTTGCTAAAGACAAAAAAAGGTAAAAAGAAATAACACTTTCATGCAAAAATAGTGTTGGAACAACAACAACAACAACAACAACAAAGAATATGAACAAATGAGAAACAAACTAAGCTGGAAGTCACAAGGAACCGAAAAAAACCCCAACAAATCCTAACTACTTTTAAGATGTATCTTAAACGATTTGATGATGCTGCTACTTGCAAGAGTAAGGAATTGGATTCAGTGACCTTTTAGCCCTTTGTGGCCTTCTAGAATGCATCTTTCATTGAAGCATCTAACACCAAAGGAGACAACCACATTCAGTGCATTATAAGAAGAATAAAATAAGGGTCAATTGCATTTTTAAAAATGAAAGTGGTACTGTTCAATTATAGTTTTTTGTGAAACATACTTTTTGCTGTAGCTGCAAATTGATTCATCCACAAAGTGTGAATCAGATTTCTTTTGGAAGAAATGTCATGTATTTTTAAGTAAGTCCTTAATGTTTAATATAAAATATTTTATCATATTTTATTACTGTAGATATCACTGAAAAATGGATCAGCTGAGGAAGCTAAATATAAACTCTATGAGTCAAAATTAAATCATTTAAAGATATAATTCAATACATATTTTAACATCTGAAGTATCTGCTCCTTAATTTCAAGCACACAGAGTATAAAAGATTTGATTAATATTTTCCTCCTGATTTCAGATGTATAAAATGAAAGTCCACACTCTGAGCACTTCAATTTCTACATTGTAATAAAAAGTGAACTCTTCCCAGTTCTAAATAACAATTTGAATGCACTGCTTCATACCACTAACATGAAGAACTACTATGTGTGATTTAACCACCAACATGTTTAATTTTGTGAGTTACCTCTGGCAATTTGGAAATGCTAATTTATGTTCTTCTAGTCTTTGGAGTTAAAAAGAAAACAAAATATTGATAATTGTTTGTGGAAAAATTATGGATTTAAGAAAGAAATAAAATCTTTCTTGTGGTTTGGAAGCAGATTTAAAACACATATTGCCACTTCTTGGTCAAACAGGAGTTTACTGGGCTGGCAATTATTTTTGCAGATATGCTCATCAATGAGCAAGGCATTTTTGATACTATGATTTTTGTAATATCTTTGTGCAACAGTAAACATCTGCCTTTTGATCTATTTTTCTGAAGTCCTTTTGATTCTGGTGATTTCACTTAGGGGTCTCCTGTGTTCTGACCTTTAGTATGATAAGTATGGGTTCATTTGCTGGATCTACTCTGAGTGTGAATCTCATATCTATGACATTTCTACTTCTGAAAGGTTGCTTAATGGAAGTGATCTCATGAGAGTTTAAATCTTCCAAGCACAGTCAATACCATTTTGACGATGTTAATTCTAAACTTGCAATTAAGGTGTTTTATGGTCTTATATTTCATTAAGCTTAAAATAGCTTCCTTCCCATGAACTACCTTTTTCTTTATTGAAAAATCCTTTATTTACCTGATAATAAAGTAATATTAGAATTGACATTATATTAATTCAAGGGGTTCAGATTACCATTGTAGAGTAAGGGGCTACAAAATATTAAATTCCTTTCTCCCACAATTCAGTATAACCAGCTTTTCCAAGAAAATGGCAAAAGTTGCAAAACATACCTTCTCTACTTAAATAATTGAAGCTCTAATGGAATGGCTCTGCTATTTCTCTGATAAAGGTCTTCCAATAAGCTGATTACATTTCTGTCCAAGTCAACAAAATCATGTTTCTACATTTATGATGGGTTGACTGGAATTGACAAAAATGGTAGTAATTCTATGGGAAAATTAGGCATGAAAATCTGTATACTGGGTGTCTGACTCCTTTTAAAGATGTGCTACATGCAGAAAGAATATTTTGTGCAATTTATTTTATCACAATAGAAAGTCTGTGTTTTTTTCCAATTGACATTGTAATGAATTGAGGATAGAAACTAACATATGTCAAAAAGCCAATGTTTTAAGTGATGCATCTTGCAGCTCTCCCTTCAGTTAAAGAGCTGGATTCAAGGATGATCTTGTCCAAATACCTGGAGCTCTAAGACTGACACTTTTAGAATTCAGATCATATCTAAATACATTGAAGGATACCTCTACTGAGGAATAACACTGTCTGTTTGGGTCTGGATACTTCTGATTGCACTTCCATTTAATAATTTATAGTTTCTGCAATATTTGACATATTTTGCAGACAGTGTTTTGTAAATCTTATAGTAAGTGCCTGTGGGTACTTGGACTAGGTTTGAATCCTATAACCTATGCTATGCATTATTTAAGTCCTAACACAGTATAACAAAGCATATTTTGAAATGCAGACAAAATAAAGCAAATTTTTTAGTAGTTCTGAGGAGCAAATATCTGTATGTTAATGTAATATTATCTGTCTCATTCACTACAATAGAAATTCAGGTTTCTGGGTGAGAGCTTTTCTTGAGATCTGTTGGGATACAAATGCTAAGATACCCATCTCTCTAGAAGAATTTTATAGTTATTCTTGTTCTGAACAATGAAATGAATATATATAAACTTATCTGAAAATAAACTCTCTTTTCATGGCAATGTGCATCAGAAAAGCCCACTGTTAATTAATGCGTACTTTAGCACAATTAGTAATTTCAATGCACTGATACTACTAGGTATCCATATAGATAAGACAACAGAAAATGACAAACAAATAAGATCTAACTAAAGCTTTAGTTCACTGTGTGAAACCCCAAAGATCCAAGGACTGTAAAGGACTGACAATGTAATTTAAGTTCTAAGTTTCCTAAAGTGAAGATCTTGAGCTGTTTTCTTTTAAAATAATAGAAGAAAATATGATTTATTACTTAAAATATTGAGGAAAGGGTTGCTTCAAGGTGAGTATGAAAATGTCTAGGCTCATGTTCATCCTCCAGAGAACAAAGGATATATTGCTACTCCCAGACATCCTCTTAGGCTCTGAGTGAGCTTCATAATATGACACCTAAATTTAGATGTCTTCCTGTGTGTTAGGCATCAGAGCTCTTGTTAGTGGACATCCAGCCCATTCATTCCCTGGAGACTTGGAAGTGATTTAATTGTACATGCAACAGAGCCTGTCTGTCAGAGCATCATCCTTTCCAAGGAATGTCTTGAGATCCTTGTTCCTGAGTTCACATTATCTTTAGCTGAGTTTACTACATGTCCAATTTTTCAGTCACATGCATTTACACGTTTATTGCATTTTCCTTCAAGGTCTCTGATATAATCTGGCCATACAATAGGATCAAGAATGGATCCTAATGGGCTCACGAGGTCCATCTTCTTTGTTTGATACTAGCATGTAAGATTTGAATATGTTATTCAGAGTGTATGACTGGGTCCTGTTGATGCCATAATTAACTCCTCTGGCAGTGAGATGTACTGTTGATGGGTTCACCTTTTTCATGGTAAGACAGCATAATGTTTTGCTGCCACTCTAGTACTGCAAAAGGCTTATTTAAGTTCCTTCATTCTTTCTAATATCTGATCCCTACCTGATCTTTCTCTTCCTCTTCCAGTGACGCTTCCAAGGACAGTATCACTCCACATAAGGGGCAGGGGAAGACGGGTGGGTGCTGAAAGATGCACGAAGAGGAAGATGAAGTTCCCATGACATACTAGGGAGTGGGGAGCTTGGTGATCTTGGAGGAGGGAATGCCTATTGTTCATCTAGCTCTTCTGCTAACACTTTTATTCACTAAAGAAGGATTAAATAAGCCCAAGTTGCCGATCCCATTTGAGCTTTCTTTAAAACAAAGACATTTTGTCTCTTTCTACACTCAAAGGAATCCATTAAAAAAGAGTACACATAACTCAACCTCCCCTGCCCCCACTACCCAGTCCACCCCTACCAGCTTACATAAAACCCTGAGGTCTCCACAGAAATCAAGGTACCTCTGTCTGTCTATAACAAGATTATTATCTTTTTTTTTTTATTACCAGCAGTTCACAAGATCTCATTGTGTATGAGCAGTGAGGTTGACAGGAGATTTTAAAAAGCCTTTTTCTGAGGCCAAGGGAGCAGGTCAAATGTTGAAAGAATTTCCTTCAAAAGTGTCATCAATGTGCTCCTTGACTTGCAGGAGAGGCCTGGAAGCTTTGGTAATCAAACCAGTTTTTCAAGCTAGAGATTTAGGCTAGGAAATGACTGCAATAGGGCTATCTATGTAGTGGAAGCTGTTTGCAGAAATTGCTAGGATCATTGTTTCAATAATATTCAACTGATACGAGCAACTCACATTTGGATCCTGAGGAAGAAGCCCCACTTGAAGTGGACCGTGATGCTCCCTTCATGGAGAAAACTCCTTTGCCTCTACGAGTTGTTGTCACAGCCACACGAGGACGTTTGAGTGGAATCACTGCACGGGGCGGTGGGGGGACACGGCCATGGTAATCAAACAACCTAGAAAAGATTAAGTCAGCTGGACTCCATAAAACCCTCTGTGATTTCATGTCATGGGAGCTCTGTCAACTAAATTTGCATGTTATCTGAGAAAATTACCCTTTGAAACTGTAATCACTTTATATCAAGTCAAATTAGATTTCAAGGACCTATGCACATTAAGTGCCTTGTTCAGATTTCAGACACACATTGGTGTATAGACCAGCTCAGATTTTTTGTGTGTCATTTAAATGAAGGATGTATTATGGGACTCTGCTATTTGCTGTATGGAAAATCCATAACTTGCTTTCCACAAGTCCACATCATTTCACTGCTCACAGCCAAAAGCAGTACATTTTGTTATGACATTTCAGCTCCTTTATTATATGCATGGCTTAAATTCTATCTTTTCTGCTATTCTTAAAGTTGTAAAAGTAATGTAGAAAAGAGAACTTTCTTGAAGACAACCATCACCATAAAGAAATATTCAGCAGTTTCTGAAATAAAAAGAGTCTTTGCGTATGGTCTCTTTATTGCAGAATTAATTGGTGTAGAAATACTAAAATAACCAAGCATGCATAATTAAAAAAAAAAAATAAATTGTTCAAACCAAAACCACTGTAGCAGGCAGATATTCAGGCTTTTATCACTACAGTCAATAAAAGATACTCTATGATAAAAATTAACTTTTGTTCCCAAACAGAATAGCCTAATCCTAAAGATACGGTTATCAATAGGAGGTAACTAACCTGTGTAGAGGGAAATAAAGGTAGTAAAAAAGATAGTCAAAGCTACAGATATATTGAGAACATAAAATATATGGATTCTGGATATGATTGGTCAGGAGAAGAAAGTTCAGAAAAGAAAGATTTCCAGTTCACAGTCTGAAGCAGAGGGATAAGCACCATCCTCATAAAATATTCTCAAATTTACTTGCAACTAGTAATTATGGAAATTTATAACCACATTTTAATTTTCACAGTTGTGAGTACTGTCACCCAGCTGGGCAGATAGATACACATTTGAAAACAGACACACAGTAGGCAGTAATTCACTCACCACAGCATTTAACAGTATGATGAATAGAATGTGGAGTCAAATTTAAATCTTCTAACCTATTTTCTGGTAAGTACATACCTAGTACTTAAATCAAACCACACTTCTGTCTGTACTGTAATCCTACAGACAGTGTAATCATCTCCCTCCTTTTCCATAGCTGCCTACAAAATGTGACACAGAGGTCCTGTCACAATCAATGACTGAAATCCATGGCCTCAAATATTACCACAAATGAGCAGTTTCTAGCCATTGTTAGCATAACTAAAAAATTGTGTGTGAAGATGGACACTAAACCATTTTTGTTACTTTTAACACAAATATTAGTGTTTATTGTCACCAATCATTTATCACATTAAATGATCTGCAGGTTAGTCATAAACTCCTTTATGATATTACTGGAAAAAATGTTTCTGAAGTACTATAAACTCTCATGCAAAAGTTCATAATATGATTTTTAGTCTGAAGGTAATATTTTTTTTAGCTTCCAATAGTTTGTGCTTAGATAACATAGTGAGATTTGATACTATGCTTCTTTTCTCAAAATATATAAAAGAATGTTTATCTAAATGACTGTTATCAATCTATTCCTACTTTGTTTGTGAAATTATACAAAGGTTTTGGGCTTGGTATTCCATTTTGTCCTGTTCTGTATATTCCAATAATATGCTTTCCTTTAAAAAACAATGCTTCCATTTATCGTTTTGAAGCACCATGCCTATTTTTCTTGTGCCTGTAATATGAGAAATTATAAAGAGAAATGCTGTTTCAAAGCAATTCTTTGCCCCAGTAATCACTAGTGTGCATACAGCTATGCCTTTTCTTTCAGTCACACTTCTAAATTTACAGTTCTGATCTTGCCAATATGTCTTCATATAGATTTTACTTTGAAGAACTATCCATTCCTGACACCCTTTTTTGACCCCATCACTGCTTTACTCAAGGTAAGAAAGACATATTCTCCCTTCAGGGACCCTGGAAAATCAAAAACATTAATTGGTTGAAATATTAGAAAAGAAGATGTATGGTTTGGGATAAAACATAGAAATTCAGAAAGTTCAGAAGTTCAAAAATTGGAAGAATCCTGACTATATTTCTTAATTTATATTTCCTATAAGTAGTTTGTACATCAGATTCCCCATGGGATTTTCTTTTCCATGACTACTTTCTTGAGATTTTCATCCTTCCCTTCCATTAACTTGTATATAAAGACTGTTTGCCTTGTACAGTTTTTATTTTCAGAAGATCCATGTCGAGCCTTATGGGGCCAACCTCACATGCAGGTTTTCTACTATAGAAGTTCTGCTGTCTTAATTCTGAAAGACTTCTAAATTTAAAAAAATTATACTATTGAATAGATCTATGGATATATTTCCCTGTCAATGGTTTTCCATAACAACACAGTTATCAAGAGAGACACCAAGAAGCAACCCTTAACGTCCAATAAGGGGTTTTTAAATTTTTGTTTTGTTTTGTTTTGTTTTTTGGTGAAAATTAACCATTACAGTTTATCATTTCTGCTACTCATAAAATACAGAATTGAGGGAAAAGCTAGACATATACCTTTAATATTTATGTGGTGTAGATGAGAAACACTATTCTGTTTAAAAACATACAATTCCAAGATGAAATTCAGAGCTGTAACCTTGGAAAAAATAATTAAAAGCCTATAGAAATCAACTTTTTACAGGACATGTGCTACTCCTACTGCAAAGGCTGGGCTGAGCAGGATTAAACTGCTTTGATAGCTTTTACTTCATATGTTCATAATCTATGTTATATCTCACTATTTCTAACTTTGTCCAAAGAGGGCAGGGTGGTTTATATGCAAAGCTAAAACTGGTGTCTCAAATAGAACACACATCAGGAGAAAACAAACATGAAAATATTGTTTCTACATTTTTCCTACTGTATTCCTAAGCAGAAAGGTGTATAGCACATGCTAACTTAACTTCTGGGTGTAAACTGTTCCCTTGCTACTGTCCATTGCTTTACATAGAAGAATTATCAAATTGGAACAGGTTTGGTGGAGCAATGCTTTGTTCCTCTCTGGCTGACTTGTCCTGTGCCAAACCAAGCTGCTCTAATGCAAAGACACAACACTGCTGGATAACACGTTAGTTATCTGTGATCATTCTTACTACTCTTGTGTTGTGGGGATTCTGCTACATCTGAATAAATACATTTTCACAGTGCTGAGCTTGGCTGTGTGTAACTACTCAAAACAGAATCTCCAATTGCTCATGCATCCAAATTATTTTTGTCCTATAGGAACACACTGTTCAGCTTGTGCTTTTGTTTCTTTCAAAGTTCTTCTGGACTTCTATACATTCTTGGAATATTCTCGAGGAGACATTGTGTCTTTTTGTACACATGGATGAAATACAAAGCCAGGAACATCATACTGAAGAATTTTGCAAGCACTATACATCCCAGTAAAAGTAAGCCTGGAAGAACTCTATTAAACTACCATTAAACTGTTCAGCACAGTAAATACCCCAAAAGCTCTTAGAAGGATAAATTCTAAAGATCTGTTTAGTAAGCATGCATTTGGTGGTGGTGATTTCTCTGCGAGATATTAAAAATAGTCTGATACACAATAGAAATAAAGCAATGAATAATCAAAAAAACCAGAATTAACCTGTTTAAGCAAACAATGAGATTATATATCAGCATGAGAAATTATGTAGGATGTACAAAAATACAGGCACACATACCGATTGTAGAAATCATCTCTGTAGTAATCATAATCAAAGACATAACCACTGTGGAAAAACAGAGAAGAACAACAAGAATGAACTGGTTTATAGGAAAATACATACTGATTGAACTTCCATGGTAAGATGGGCTTACTCTCAAATTTCTATCCCTTCTTCAAAGTTCTTCCACTTCTTTGTACTGTGTACAATGTACATTATATTTGTCAATGCTGTTGTCAGCTATCATTGTATATTCCGAAATGTGAAGTCTGGGGCATGCAGAACTGTAAACAGTTGACAGCATACACAGATAGGATTTAACACAGTGATACAGCTCTGTAATTAGAGGATCATTATATTGTAATTCTCTGAGTGATCAAATGAAGTTAGCATTTAAAACTGACACCCTCTTCTTTTCTGGTCTAATATAACATCATCAGTGGTGTAGGAAGACAGTTAAATACATGAAAGAGTGGGAAATGAGTGAGAAGGTGAGCCAAGACTGTTACTTTGATTCAGAGAAACATGAAATGATTGGACTTCTTGCTGGTCCTTCAGTCCACCAAATTATTTTCATCAAAGAGAGAAAAAGTAAAAATTTAAAAAAATAAATGCCAAGTAAGTGTTAAAGGTAAGCATTTTCTCTCAGGTTCAGGAAGGAATATACATACCAATCTAAGAAAAGACAGGCACCATCAAGGGAAACAAACAAATGTGAAGTTACACAGGTCCATGAGAAAACTACTTTTGAGCTGTCATTAGCAAAGTCAATCCCAGATTCCTGGTTTTCATTCCATTATCAACTTTCTACTTTTGTGGTGAAGAAATAACAAAGAAGTCTTATCTAGCTCATACATCCAAACATCACACACCGCACCCCCCCCCCCCCCCCCCCCCCACCCCAAACCAACAAATCAATGAGCCAATAAAGGCTCTGCATGGAAAAGTCACAACGGTTTATTTCTACTCTGCCTAATAACACACTCTTTTACTGTTTTGAGAAGTACAGTAATGAATAGTAAAAGTAAGAAACATCAAGAAAGTATCACAAAAGGAGAAGCTTTAAGTGAAAAAGGTAGTAAAGGCAGAGGTAGAAAGGAGAAAACATAGAAGAAAACTTTCCCTGAATATAAAGGGACACTATAGAATGCTAGTGTGGTTTAATAGTTTGAATAATAGCTCTTGAACATTGAGCAAAGTGGGGGTTTTAGTGCATACTCTGAAAAATGTGTCAAGAATTCTACCAAACAGCTCAAGGCACATTTTCTATCTCTACCACACTTCTTTCACATTCAAGTGCCCAATTGCAAATAATAGAATTCTAAGTTGTACTGTCTGCCTGCACAATATTGCAGTAGAAGATCATGAGAGCTTCAGATGACTGTGGCCCTTTTTGTAATTTATTTGAGAAAAGAAATCTGAAGATGCATTTCCTGTGAAACACTGAACTGAACAACCCTGAGAGACTAGAACCCTGCAGCAGGTAAGCCTGTGTGGCAGAGGATGCAAAATACCTTTAAATAATAGTAGGCTGTATATAGTCATGTGTCAGTATCTTAAAGTAAACCTAGCAATTTTTTCCCTAAACTATATGACAGCTGCTGTTTTGTCTTTCACTTCAGTCTGCATGGAACTAAGAAGTAGCAGGTATCAAAGCTATTATTTTATTTACAGTTCTTCACAGCTTCCTAGTGGTTTTATTTAGCTGAATTATTAATGCCTTCAGTAAGCCCATACTTAATATTCAATGTGTGTTTCCAAGTAAAAGATAACAGACAATTTGGAGGAAAAATATTAAATTTAAAAGTCCTGTCACATGAAACCTTTTGCCTGGAGTTGATATTTATTTGATTTGCATAAAGACTGGACAAATTCACTTTTTCAAGGTTGAAGACCATTAAGCTGGTGAAGAATAATTCACTGGCATCAGTTAGAGTAAGGCTGAAGGACCACTATATTTTTATATAATAAGTCAGCTCTGGCTTAGAGAACAGAAAAAGGACTGCTGGCCCCTCAGTGGGTATGAAAATTTTATGTTGAATGATGATGTTTCATCTGTAATAACATGTTGAAGAGATTATAGTGTGTAAGCAACCAGTACATCTCTCCATCTGCAGCCATAATTGTTCCTATTTTTGCATGTCAAGGGACAGACATAAGACTTTGTGAGTGCTACAGTATAACACCAAGTAGAAAATTAGCACAGATAATCACTGGCACTGAGATCAAGGTGACTACAAAGCTCTTAACCTCTTGAGAGTTATTCCTTAGCAACCCAACAGCCTGTGTAATAGAGGCCACAGGTAATCACTCATACAGTGTTGAATAGCAAATACTCAGCAGGTCAGAAGCAGAGAAAGGTTTAAACAAGCCTATGAACTGGTGGAGTCAGCATTTTCCTAATGGCACTGTAAACAAGCAGATTACTTACCCACTAACATGTGCCTTCTCAACAATATTAACAATAAAACTGCCTGTATGATGCTGATATTAGTGGAGTAGACAATAAAAGACACTACATGTGTCTCACAATGAAGCAAAGAAAACCGATCAATAAAATGTGCTTCTACTAAGCAAAAGTCATGGTTCCTTTTCCTAACTTAGTATCACCGAGACAATCTTGTACAATCTGTCCCTTGTGGTTTCACTAAGTACCATGCGTATCTTTAAAACTCTGTATGCCTGAAGACTAAATGTTTCCCCCTGACCATTTTTTCAGAGCTATGATGCTGTATGTATTCAGAGTTCCTGCACGTATCACCAGTTGCACATGTGCGAGGTGGGCAAATACAGTTATCCTTCTGCATCTTTGAAATAAATGTATGGATTCGATTATGTCTTTACATACCTGGTGTCGAAATCACATTACTACAAAAGTACAATCTTTTTTCCATTCTCTATGCTATGTCTTCAAAAGATGTTTATAAACTATCGATCCTGTTTTAACTTGACTCCAAACATCAGTGGCATAACTTACTTCTGTGTGGTTTTTCTAACTTTAGGATAATTAATTCAGAATAGACCAGAAATACCTTTTGTTATTTTCCTGTCAACAAGACTTTTGTCTTCCATTTAAATCAGCCTTAGCTAAATTGTTTTTTTCTTTCCACAGTTACAAAGAGATTTAAATCATAAATGTTGACAAACAACTCATAATGTGTCTTAATTTAATTGACGGTGCTATTGCCGTTTATACTGTCAGTTTATTCTCTGTTGTGAGGCCTGAATAAAACTTAAATTAAATATATATATATATATATATATATATATATATATAATATGCAATTAAATTAAATATAAAAGCAATATTTGTTCAATCAAACTCTTTTTGGGAAGGACATATCAACCTAATATTTGAAACTAGTATTCCAGTAATTTGTGAAATCATTTCTCATGTCATGGGAAAAGAGTGTTAGGAATTGTTCTTGCTGAGAGCAAAAGAGAATCAGTCTAAACTGATATTATGTTAAAAAGGATGCTGATGAGGGTAGCTAGAGGATTTAGAGAAGAAGCATTGAGAGATGGAAACTTTCTCCATTAGAAAATCAATCAGATGGAAGTTACTTCCATAAGCTGTTGAAAAAAATGCTGAAGATTTCAGGCCACTTTTCAGTGGATGGTTACCTACACTGTCAGACATGAATCAAATTGGTGGGCTGAATCCCACCTTTACTTTAAAGAAAATTCAATTTTAGGTAAGGATGTGAATGCTGATAGAAGTGAAGGGACACTGCTGTTTTGCAGTTCAGACTGTATGTTCTGCAGAGAAAGAGAACATTTTCCAGAGCATTCTTTTTTGCTGACAAAATTACTGCCAAAAGACAAATTATTTCAGTGATTCTTTAAACTAGTATATTAGGAAAAAAGAGTGGGCTGGAAGAGGAAAAATAATTGCAGAGAAGTATTTTATATTCATGTCTGTAATGAAGTTATGAGGGCAAACAGGTATAGTTAAAAAGAAAAGTTTAACACCAAAATCCCCAATCATTTGTCCCAAAATGACAAACAACTGAACATAATCTACTATTTGTATATTTCAATTAAGGATTAAATTGCATAGTAATTTTGTAACTATAAGCTAATAAAAGTTTTTTTTTATTTTTTTCCTAATTCTGCACATTTATTCAATTAATAAGAGCAAGATGTATTTTTTTCCTGAGTGGGGAGAAAATAAGGAGTTAAGTTTCAAACAGTGCAGCATGAAATGTAATATTTTAAATGGATGGGTTTTTTTCTGCAAAACTGAAAAAATCTTTTCAGTTCTAATTTGAAGAGGTGCATTTTGTCCAAAGAGGACATGTATACATAAAAAAGCTGACATACAGTACTCCATTTTCCATTAAAGTATCTTTCTGCAGGCATGAGGCAGAATTTATTTGCAATATGATCAGGCTGTATTTTTTCTGTCTCTAGATATGTTTCTTCTCTACTTTCATTCTCTCTTCCAAGAACTCTTATCCCAGTGAAATGCATTTTGGGAAAACTGTTGAACTTATTGTGCAACCTGAATTTTAGGCAAACTTTGGGCAAATATTCAAAGTTGCATATACACAATCCGGTACTTAAAACACTAAGACATTTTCCTGTAGAGGATTAGTCAAAGCTTGTGAAGCAGACATTGAAGAACAATGACATTGAGATCAATATTCAGACTCTGAGGATCAGCTGGTTTCAGAGCTGTTTATGGAAGCAAGACAGACAATAGTGATGCAGGCAAAACTAAACCCAAACAATTTTCTGAATGGCTAAGTATTAGAGTTCCTCCTAACTAAAACTACTTACTGTGGCTGCAGGCACAGCCTGTGCTTAACAATGTTATCTTGATGCTCTTTAGAAACAAAACAGTAGCTTTTTAATATAAATATACCCATGTAAATCTACTTAATATCTCCCCAGTCTTTCTCTTCCTGTTGCAAAACTATTTTTCTGTCATCTAAAGTATTGTTCAATTATTTATATTTTCCATAGGAACATTTCATAGTAAGGCAAAGAAAAGGATTTTAAGTGGCCCAACCACTTTCCAAGGTGTCCTTTAATTGACTGGGCATTCATAATGTCCCTATGGT